TTTTTTTCTTTCCACAGCATACGGAGGGTAATGTATGGCATTATGGCAAAAAGGACCAAAAATGTACGATCTATAGTATAGGGGCTGAATATATATTTTACCAATAGGATAGGGGTCAAACTCGGGTATTAATAAATTACTACAAATTAAACATTTAATTTTTAGGGACAATTTCAAAGAAGGGCATATATATATTTATCTTCGTCCATGTGCACGTTGGATCCCTAAAACTAACAGAGTGGATTGCGAAGACCAGTGTTTTCTCAACTGTGACAAATGTTTGTCACTCAATTAATTAATTAATTAAGAATCAAGAAAAAAAATATAGTATATATTTTTACTATTAATTAGTTGGTACTAATTAAACTATTTGCCAATAAATGGGTTGTTCATCGTACAACTTTTTAGTGCGTTAAACTATTATTATTATTATTATTATTATTTTTAGTTTTATTATTATTATTATTATTATTATTATTATTATTATTATTATTTTTTTTTTTATTATAATTTTTATTATTATTTTTACAAGAAATTAGTGGGCAGCCGAGATACAATTTGGGCTCCCACTCCTTTGGCTATAGCAAAGCCTATTCTAGTATAAATGTGAGCAGCAGCCTTTGCTCCAATATCTTGGGCTAAGGAAAACTTTTGAATGCGTCGGAGTAGAGAAACAGCCGCATCATTCAGTTCCCCAAAGGACGAGAAAGAGAAAGGTAGAAAGCCATATCCTTTTGCTTCGCACTTACCCAAATATTTGGTGTGCTTGCGCTGCGTTGCATCTCGAACTGCTCGACCAGCCACAAAGTTTGTCATCCCGGTTAGTGTCAGAGGAGAGGACCCTGATCCACACAAACATCACGTCCCAGTTATTTTATTATTATTATTATTATTATTAAAGCTTCCTAGTTGCGTATCTTACTTGTAGTTATTTTATATGAAATTTTATATAGTTGTTCCCCAAATTACTATGAGTCTGTGATGCTTCCAGTCAGAAATTCACCAGTTTCTATACATAATTGATAATTACAAAATTTACATATAATACTACAACAAAACACAACACTAAGAGCCAAAATTATTGTAATTGTGCGTGGGCGGGCATCTAGCAATTGTTGTCAGATTAGTCAACTTCCCAATGATAAATAATACTAGTATAATTATATTTACACACAGCTTAATTACTTACTAATTAGTAGTATGATTTTTTATATATAGGACAACAAAATAGGTATATATAAAATTAAGATACAAATTTTATAAATTTAATATTATTATTCCACTAACAAATAAAACATCTGCTTATTTTTTTTTTTTTCGAAATTAGTACAACTTTTTTTCCTCTGACAATATATCCGTTATTATTGATAAACTCTTTTTAACCAAATTTGATTTATGACCTTAATTTACTTGTTGTGTGCGGCCTAACCGTTAAACGAGTTGTCTCGTTTTGATTTTTTTATTAAATAAAAATATTTATACTATAAAATATCGTGTATTGCGATTGGTTGTCTAACCTTTAACAACACTGATTAATAGTATCTTTTAAACTAAAAATTTGGAAAATAACATTCTTTATTAAACCTCCTAGCATCATTACAAATGCGCAACTAATTTTCATCTTCTTATGATTATAATTTTTATCGTGCACTTAATTTAGGTCATATAATGAGCCCTAATTAAATTGTTGATCGAGTGATTTATCTCTTTTATGTGTGATGCTGATGCTGCAGCTAGCTAATATATATTTTAATTTATCCGATCCAATCCTACTGACTAGACATGATTCCACTTTTCATAATTATTAATCACATTTGTTTAATTAAGTCTTATTATGAATATATGTTGATTAATATAAGAATTGCTTGAAATCACATGCATGCATGCAATAATCCCATCTTAGTTGGTCCGCATATAATTAAATTCTATCGAGGGAATATAATCTGCATGTATTTTTTTTTTTTTCATAATTAATTAATTACAATGAGTCTATATGACCGCTAAATAGTAAATTAAATTTCAAAATTATCATAAATTTGTGGCGATTCCTTTTTTTTTTTCCAAACGACAATTATATATAATAACTTAAAAACTCAAATGAGTACACTCGAAGTGTCAAGTGACACACTGGAACCATAAGACTGGACCAACTCCCTTGTGAACAGATAAGAGAGTACAAACTCAACGCACGGCCACCCGAGCCTGCACACGAGCCGCCTCATCCACCAACAAAGAGATCCAATGAAGCCACAAATCAAAAACTCGAGCACGAAAACTGCGGCCATTGAAGCCGCCTAGACGGATCTGAAGAAGAGTTTGATCTCAAATCAAACTTGACCTCCCAAAAACCATCCACAAATCAAATTTGTGGCGATTCAAATTAGTTGAAATATTGGAATCTAAGATAACTAATCAATAATTTGGGCGGAAATCTGAATATTAATTGGTGCGATATCTTCAAAGTTGACCAATTTGAAGATATTTTTGCTCAAGTCCCTTCTTTTTTTTGCTGAAAAATTAATAGGACGCGTGTAACATGACGTGTCAATTTTAAGCAAGGATTAGCAGTTACGAAATTAAGAATACGTATAAATAATTTATTTCTTAAAAACAAATAAGTATTTTTTTTTTTTTTTGAAAAATAAAGATAATATTGACTAAGTCATGACAAAAATGAAATGTAAAAAATATATTAGTGCAATTAGCATTCTTTTTTTTTAAAAAAAAAATTTATATCTGTCAATGTTGCATCATTTATGAAAATCATGAACTACATTATTATACTACCAATTAAAGTTGTGCATGCAGCTAGCTAGGTGACTGAATGTGACACATTCACACATCTAATTATTTATGCCTTTTGTTGTACAAAATTAGAGCTCAATATTCTACGCTCGTGTGTTTGAGTTTTAATGCATATATATATATATATAGTCCGCAAACCTAAGTATAATAAAAAGCTTTTATATTTATCAACCAATTCTTAAGATAACGTTTTTTTATTTTTATTTTTTGGGTATATATTCACGAGCTTCTCGCGAATAAATCAACACGTCCAGCAAATGCCAACCCTCTAAAAAAAAAAGTTCTTTATCCCTTGTGACACCACGTACAAAAGTTGGAATTTTGTAATATTTTTTTTCAATTTTAGTGTAATTGCATGAAAAATAGCCTCAATCCGCAAAAAACCGGAAAATTCGTTCGTATTTTACGAATTTTTTATCGTTGGATGAACACACACAAGTGTATATCTGAATATGTATGAGTGAGAGTTTATTTTTCACAATTATATTAACAAATACAGTCAGATGAAAGTGTGTGCGTGACTGTGTGTTGTGTGAGTGTGCGTTATGTAAACCATAAAAGAACCTAATGAGTTAGTTAAGTACTCTCACTGATAAGATCTAACCTTCCTCAAAAATAATAAATAAATAGTTTTTGGGGAATTTTTTTTAGTACAAAATCAAACAATAATATAGTATTTATTAAGATGATATGTAGTTATTTGTCTTAAAACGAGCATTATTTAGTAAATTATTTTACAAATAAAATATAACATCTTGTTATAAATTCAGAATTGAATAATTGTAAGTTTGATTAAATATAGATAAATATACAAAGAGACAGACATACTGTTTGATTATTCTCAAGGATGATAGATCCGCATTAATAGCTTCAAAAATATTTCAAGTGGATTAAAAATTAGTAATTGACAGAAGAAGAAAACACAGGTTTTGGTGGGAGTTGACTTAACAACTATTCGTGTTTCCAGTGAATCTTACACAAACCCCACCTTTTTTCTTTTTTTTTTTTTTGGTAATTTTTATTATTAGGCATTTAATATAAATTGCTAGTCTAGGTTTGTGTTTTTAGTTTGGGCCGTTGGCCTGTGTGAGTCCGAGTGTCAACTTATTATCCTGTTGGGATCGGACATTCAGGTATTATCCTGGTGAGATCATTTTTTAATAGTTTCCGTTTTTGTTTGTGTAGTCCGTCTAGTATAGTTGCGAGTGTTGTTATTCTAACGCTGCTAGTGTCGGGATTCTAGGCGGTCTTTTGACATTTCCTCCATTTTTTTCAGTTGTTGGTTGTTCTATTCAATTAAGGACTTCTTGTATTCGCATATTTGTGCATTTTGGTTTATAATATTATCATTTATTTTGGTAAAAAAAAAAAATATAAATTGCTAGTGAACATATACATCATATTTTACATGATGGACCATTTCTGGACCTTAAATTTTAATTATGTTCAATTAAACGTTTTACGACTACACTACCCAGTTTAAAATATTTAGTAGTATTCCCCCACAAAAATTTTTAAATAAAAAATGTCCACATAATTCTAATTATTCTTATAAGTGTCACATCGTACTATAAAAGATTAACTTAATTATTATGGACCTTAGAAGATTAATTAGGTGTTTAATGAAACTCATTGGTTGATTTGCATGGCCCCAAATCATATTTCCATGCATAAACGTACGATTAATTTACTTATATATATTATTAGTTTACTATGATAATAATGTGTGGACTATTCTATGGGAAAGAATATTAGTGGAATGCTTCTTATGCCCTCAATAATTGTTCTATAAAAGGTTTTTATCGTCTTTGTGTATATGTTTGTTTGCCCCACGTGAGTGACATCTCACCCCTTTCTCTAATTAGTGATTGTACAATTGGAAATAATTTATATAATTTTATTATTAATTAAAATTCAATTTGAGATTTATCACTTGTCATAAAAATTATGAAGTCAGTGGATGAATTAATTAAAATTCAATTTGAGATTTATATCACCAAAATTGTATCATCTCTTAGAGCTGGACATCAATTAATTAACATTTTGAGAATTTTTGTACATAAGTTCATTTACAAATAGGAATATTTGTGACATAATATTTAATCAATCAGTCAATGCAATAAATTGACCGCACCTAGACTAACCTTTCGACACAAATATTTGGTGATTTTGGCATATGTAGTAAGTAATTAGTGGTCCTAAACAAGCTTATAAAATAAAATTAAAATGAAAGCCATCATGGAAAATATATTTTATTGTCTTAATGTGACATCGTTTCCCTTTTTCAACAAGCAAGAGATTTCATTTTAAAAACTCTGGCTTCACCAAAATATGGGCTTGCATAGATGGGCCCCAAGTCCATTGTGCTTATGAATGTGGACAAAACTAAACTTGATAATAGTTAGAAAATGGGAACTTCTTGCCACTTTATTTTTTCAATTACTCAGAGGAATCCATAAGAAACTGCAGCAAATAAAAAATTATCAAGGCAGCAAATGAATTTCACCATAGTAGATAGTGTAAACAAGCGCTTGAAATTTAGACAGTTATTATTCAATTCCTTCATCAACCTACATGAAGCAACCAGTTGACAATCATTCATATCCGAAGGATTCACCCTGCCATTCATTTTTGTTTTCGGTTTGTGCCTCTCCTACATTAACGCTCCCCATAATGTAAGACTGCAGATCATTGAGTTGTCCAAATTTGGATATCAAAACAACAGGGAAACGAAAATTACTCAAGTTCCACCTCAAGGTAAAAGCTCGTGAAGGTTAATATAATGCGGCCAGGCACCAAAAAACGCAAGTAAAAGTTGTCACTCAAGTTACTGTGGGGAAGAGAAGCTAAACTGCACGCCACTCTTCCCTTGATCTTGTCCCTGTTGTTTCAAAATGTGGCAGTAGTTCACCTGATAATCACATGAAGCGGTTAGCAATTTTACCTTCTTTAAAGGCAGTACACAAATGGAACGAAAAAAAAAAAGGAAAGAAATTGTGGCACTTGACTACTTGAGGGTTAAGCAGATGATTGTGTATTCCCAAATATGTATTTTTTAATCTATCAGGAAAGTGCATCCTCCAACTTCTAAATGGTTATCCATTACAAAACTCAAGAGGGTGTTTGTATGAATATCTAAAACGGGATGTTACAGTTCTCATATATGCATGTAACCTAAAACGGGAATAATACAGTTCTAATATCACGTTTTGACTAACAATTGTGTCGGTGGTGAATCACAAAACAGAAAAGGGGGGATTCTATACCAATAGTCTAACATAGGCGAATGGCTCCAAGAGATTAAAATATACCTTTCTCGGGAGTCACAATCAAGAAAATAGTGGCTGAGAGCCTGAGACAATTAGGGAGATTCCTAGTTATGTTATTCATGTCCCTCTCGTCCTCTAAATCAAGTAATAGATTTGCCATTTGATCACTGTTTATGATTATTAGGTTCCTATACTTCCTATCACTATTATTAACCAGTCTTAACAAACAACAATTTGAGGGACAACAACATCCGCATCTAACAAAATAATCAACTTTCAGATGTTCTGTCACATGAACACTTTACACAATGCAACTAAGGGGCAACTATAATATCTAACTAAGTTCGTTTACAAAACAACCAATGCAAAATTTGGAAATAAAAAACACCGACTTCTTAAAGTTTAATTTCACAACCTCCGTTTCAGTTCGTCCGAAAACCTTTTGCTGAGTTGAAGGAATATGATAACATTATCAATTGTGTTGCAACCCCTCAGCTTAAAAAAATTACACATTGCCCCCAACTTTACATTAGCTACTAGTAATAATCAAATAAATCAGAATATATCATATATATACATAAAAGTAAATGCAATATTAAAATTTGGAGTTACTTATAATATTTGGAAAGTCGAGGGATGTAATAGTACACATAATTAAAGATGTGGGCAATTTTATTTGGTTCCACTGCCAGCAGGTGCATTTAAGTGATTTTGTACTTTACAGTTTCCAAAATTAGTTCAGTATTCTCCGCAAATACTCTAAACCAGAAGGGTAATTCAGATTCTACTAGTCCCCTAGAACTAAATAAAGTATAGTGAAAAAGTTCCCACTAGGAACAGTTTTTCCAACTGAAGATCTTATGAAATCTAACAAGTCTTTCTTTTGCCAAAAGTCAGCAAAAAAAGGAAACACATACGAGTAGCACACTTATCTTAAAAGCAAAATATTTTACCTCCATCCGGAATAGCTTGGTGGGTACAATGAGTCCAACTCCCACAGTGCTTCGGAAAGAATCTTTAAATTTCTGCAGAGAAAGTCCCTTGTACGCGTTCTCACTCAATTTGTTCAGGCTACCTGTGTTAGCAAACACGTGACCATGAATACCGGCATCCCTAAAAACCTTCAGAGGAAGATCAAACGAGAGGTCCGCGAAAGCAGTGACAGCAAGATCCCCTCCAACATGATCGAACCCAGAATAATCGGATCCCTCATCACCAGAATTAGCTCTCACAAATCTTCTAGGCTCCGCAGGGCCCAATCCCCTGGTCTTGAAACCCAAAACGGAGAAGGGCCCACTTAAGGAGCAAACGGGAGAAGAATTACCGCCTATGAAAAACCTCTCGGGCAGATACGAGGGCATACTCAGAGATGCTCTGCTCCATGGAATTACCACGCCGGCTGATATTCCCAAGTTTAGTGCAGCACGGGAAAATCCAAAGGGGAGAGCATAACGAATATCAAACTCCTGTTCAGAACATCACATATGAACAGAAGAATTTATGCTAAAATGTTTGCTCATTAGAATTTCAGTTGGAAAAGGTTCTCTAAAGCCAACTTGGGAATTATACAACAAGGTCGCTTTTACTTTCTGTTGTAAAGGGTTCTCTAAAAGCCAACCGGGATTTATACAACAAGGTCTCCTTTGCTTTCTACGGGATGGGACAGGTTAGTGGCTTTTGTGGGTTGGCACAATATATTTATATTCTATCAAATGTTAACATGGTAGGATGGATCATTTTATGAATTAGTAATTTATTCAGGCCCCAATGTTTCTTTGCCTTGATTATGTCGGATATTAAGTAAATATTTCAAATGCACAAGGCAGAATATTACATGATTGCAACTTTTAATGATAAGTAATTTCATTCTTGGCTCAAAAAAATAAATTATCTAACTCTTCCGCAATGGATGGGCTTATCACCATATTGACGATTTTATCCCCTACATGGTGGTTATTGTCTTGGGCAGTTAACAGAGTGATACCCAACTAATATCCTAACCTAGGTAGTAAATGAGTCCCAAACCATACTTGCAGCAGTGAGTAAATAGGATAAATCGTGGGGAAATGACAAAAAGAAATATAGATCCAGAGAAAACCCCGCATGACCTAAAGTATGGGGGCATGAAGATTGAATATATAACAATCCCAAGTTAAATAAGAAGACTTTAGAGTCAAAACTATAGCAACTTTGTTCATCAAAATGATAGAAAACAAATAAAATTAAGAGATGGATTATCATGAATTTCGGAAATATACCATATATCTTCTTGGCTTTTTTACCCACCGACTTATAATTGGAAAAACAAGAGAAAATAAAACAACACAAGACCAGCAAGAAACCTGACGAATGAAACGTAGGCTCCGAGCATCAGGAAAAAGACCACCAACTTGAGTAGTCGAGACAAAAGCATGGCCTCTAGTCGGCCTCAAAGATGAATCCCTTCGGTCAACTTTAAAAACATACTTCAAGGATGAGAGCAAATTATGTCCAAGCTGCCGCCTCACGGTGTGAGAAGACATTTGAGATGGATCTGTTAAAGTACGCCAGGAGAGGTTGTAGGACAAACTGTGCTTCCCAGTTTCCAACAGACCGAGTGAGAGACCAAGGGCTTGCTCCTTATACGAAGAAAACTTCAGCCAATCCTGGGAAACCATGGATATTCTTGCGGACAATGGAGTAGGAATTTCCTTGAATCTTGGCAGAGATACTCCTGAGCTGACTTCCAAAGCTTGACCCCAGCCATAACTCACTGAAGCATCCCATAGATCTCCATAACCAAACAGATTTTTCAGCCTCAGTAATGCTTCTAATGACCAAGATCTAGCCTAAAAAAGCACTTGAGAGTATCAAGAAATTAAGACTGATAAATACAACCTCATCCATACAAAAGAAGAATGTACATGAATGAGAAGCCACGGACTATATTTACGGGTACAAGCAATTGATTTGATCAGGAAACCTAACACATTCAAGTGAAAAAGGAAAGTTGAAGAAGCTTTGCACCAAGTTTAAGATGCTCTAATATTGTTTTCTCGTGTATTGTTCACTTAGAGTGTGAATAGTCATGTCAACCATAGAAACCTTCTTTTGATACAAGACACAAACTTAAGTACCTCAAAACTTAAGTTAGCAATTAACTAGAAAACTGATATTCCACAAATACTTATAGTAACAAACACTATCAAGATTGTGCGGGACTGTGCAGTTCATTACATGTTAGTATCCATCTCCTGGAACCCAATTTATGTGGTTTCCTGATGCTAAACTGAAGCTGCAGAAAATCCCACCTATAAAAACCAAGCTAAATTATTCCAACCCAATTGAAAAGCATCGAACTCCATAATGGCAAACTCCAAAATTCAAGCAGCAAGTAACACACAGATCCTAATGCTTTGGTTACCATTCGTCACACTAGGACGAAGAACGTAACTGAAGAGTTCGATAGAAACATAAATAAATTACCTCAGGTTTTGAATAAATCCCAACATTTCCAGAAAGTGGGTTCGACGCCTCAGAAACCTCGATAACGATGTTCGCAGTTCCTGGCAACTCCGGCGGGCCCGCGTCAAGGGTAATATTGACCGAATCGAAAATATCGAGGCTCTGCAGCCTCGCGCTGGCATCAGCGGCAGCGCGCAGCAACTGCTGGAAACTAGTGGCGTCCCTGAAAATCGACTCGACCTCCGCCTCGATCAAGGAGTCCTTGGTCTTCGTGTTCCCCTTGATGATTACGTCATGGACCCGGACGGGGACTTGCTCCTTCGATAGACGCCTGAATAGGGAGTCCATGTTGGCCCGATCCCTCTGAATTCGGGCCTCAGGAGTCATGGTTTCGGATTCATTTTCGTCTTCTTCTTCTTCTTCCTCCTCCAGCTCGGTATCTTCTTCTTCGACATCTTCGATTTCCTCGTAGGGTTTCAGGTCCGGAATCGAGCTCTCCTTAGGGTTGGGTTTCGGGTCGGCATCGGAATGAGCTTCCATGGACGAAGTATCTTTAGTTCACTGAGTGTAATGAGGATTTTCTAAAGTGAGAAAGAGAAAGGAGAGGGCGGCGGCGGCGGCGATAGGGCGGAGTACGATGGTTAGAGGTACAAAATCATCGACTAATTAAGGGGAAAAAAAAAAGAAGAGGAATATTGATTTGTAAATTGTAATTCAAGAGATAAATATGAAAGAAAATTATTAGATGGTAAGATTGTTATTTGCCAAAATTAAAAAAGAAATTTGTACTAAGAAAAAAAAATAACAAAATTAAATGTACAATTACCAAGTTTAAAAAAAGTTATTTATGTCTATACTAAATTTAATTCCAAAACAAAAAATTAATATACAAATAATATTCCAAAACATAGATTTTTGTTGATCAGCATTGAAGCGTGCGACTCTACCATCTAAGCTCAACACGTTTTAAAATAATATATAAGGAGAGATAAACTTAATGTAGTTGTAAAAAATCAAGAACTTGTCAGATAAACTCTAATAGTCCTATATAGGGCAAATTCGATTTTATCCATGTGGGCACTGCCAACATGAGATTTTTTACCATTAATTTCACACACATCCACGTGGGTGTATGTGTTTATGTGTAAATCAATGGTAAAAAACTCCATGTGGGCAGTGCCCACATGGGTATGCTCGAATTTTCCCCTATATAGTTTATAAGCATGTAGCTTTAGTAAAGTACTTGTCACATGAAAAATCAAGAACTCAATTTATGAATGATCATGTTCATGTACTTCATGATTATTCTGAATAAATGTGGATGCTATCAGTTTTTCTTATGTTTTTCCATAATGTAGTTTCCATAATGTAAGCAATGAATTTTGTGAATAATTCTTTTTTTTTTTTCTTTTCTTTTCACCAATATTCCGTGCATAATCACAATCTATATTTGCTCCTTTTTTTCATTTTTTTTTTCATCTGCATTAGCTATAAGATGTGATTATTAATTATTTTCCAACTAGTACAACACTTTGTATTACACGAGTGCTTGCTAAATTTTTTTATTAAAATTTAAAATTAATGAGAAAAGTGGTCAAAAATTTAAATAATTTTATAAAAAAATATATATCATTATATATTTTAGTACGACACTTATTACTTATGCGACTTACATGTGTTATATTATAATAATTTTTCTAACGTATAACATATAACTACATTAAATATAAATATATTAATTGAGAAATAATTTTATTCTTTTGATTAATTTTTTAATAAATAACTTTATTATTATTATTAAAAAAATAAATATAATTCATTTATTTTATATGTGCAATATAGATGTCAAATCGAAACTCATCAAAAAAATAATTAATTTGATATATTATATATGTAAAACCGATAAAAAATTACAAATATCATCAAATTTTAAAATACATTTACAATTCAATAGTTATAATAAGAAATGATATTAAAATACAATTATTACATTTAAAATGATCAGAAATAAATCAACATATTTATGGTTGGTAATCTGAGCCTAATTATTTTCGAATTGAAATTAAATTAAAATCTATTTAAGCCAAACAATGAAACATGAAATTTTGATACTTAGGATCCCGAAGCATGCGAACCTACCACATAGGCTCAACACATTCGAAAATTATATATAGGGGGATCATTGTCGGTTAAGAACATTGTCTATGATCTCCACATTAACTGATCATCCTTCATATGTGTTGCTTGTAAAACCCATTTCATTTCATCAACTACATTTGCACAGTAGCACTACCATGTGCCTTGGCACACCTAGCTAGGTGTGCCAAGACAGATTTACACGCGCCCCTCACTCCCCAAAATTAGAAAAATTAAGAGAGTGTAGTTCGCATCCCTAATTTTCTTTTTTTAATTGAAAAATGAGACATATTACATAAATTAAAATATCATTAATTATTTATATTAAAAAAATAAAATAAAAATACCAAAATTCATAATTT